TTATGTTTCTTGGCCATTAGAATGTTCATTTTTGAGAAACATCTATTGAAGTCTTGACCATTTTTGGATATAAGTTTCTAGAAATACAGCTCTTGGGTAAGAGAACTTTCTTGATAAGCAACAGTATCTCTTACCTGAGTCTTCCCTAAATGCCTCTGCTTTAGTTTGGATCCTGAATGACCCTCAAAGGCTCATGTGTTCATGGCTTGGTCATCAGGGTGGCACTATCAGGAGGTAGTGGAACCTTAGGAGACAGGGCCTAGTAAGAGGTACTCAGGTCATTGGGGACTGGCCCTCAAAAGGGATCATGGGATTCTATCTCCAGAAGGACAGACAGCAACTCCCTGGTGTAGGGTGCTATAACTTAGAGCAGGACAGCACCTAGGGGCTGGACGACAGGTAGAGCCAGGACAGGTTTACAGAATTTCACGCCAGTTTTTCTACCAATTGTATACTGCCCTCATGTAACTATTTGCGGGCCAGGGCATGGGTCACTGACATGGGCTAAGGACATGTGCTAAGGACACAAAGGCTCGTGGGTGTTTTGGAGTTTCTTTTGAGACTCGTTCAGTCTTTCTTTTTCTGTATCTCCAAATTCCCATCTCAGGATTAGAGGGAGAAAGGAGGGCCAATAAGGCCGTGGGTATGATAGGGGGATGGACAGAAGAGAAAAAAATGAGAAGATGGTGCCAGAGCTGCAGGGGGTCTGGCCCTTTCCCAGGGCCCTGGCAGCAGGAAGAGAACAGGCTCCTCACTCCCTGATCCTATCCTTTCAAGGCCCTACTTGTTGCCCCGTGTAGCCACCTTTGGTACAGAGGTTTGGGGAGGAAGCAGCTGGACTTTATGTAGGCAGAGATCTTCTTCAAGCCCTCAAAGCGGGATACGAAGTCCTTCAGGTTTGAAAATTCATCCAGGCACTTAGGGTGAAATATTCGGTGCAGGTCAAGTATATCATAAGCAAGGAAATCCACAAAGGTGATCTTATCACCAGCAAACCATGGCTTCTTCCCCAGGAACTGTGAAAAGAGCTTCAGTACCTCTGGGAGGCGCTCCAAGTACTCTGGCTTCAGTTTCTCATTGGGAAAGTCCAGGCCCAGCTTGAATTTCTCATCCAGCCACTGGCTTCTGTCATAATCCGGAGCATCCCCCATCGTGTATCTCTTCTCCTCACAGCTTGAGTCTGTGTATTCCAGGAGCAGGCTGCGGATGTCCCAATAACCCAGTATCATGGGCATGGTGCGTGTGTTGTGGGGGAGCCCACTGGCCTCGGTGGGGCTGAGCTGTAACTTTTTGCTGGCGCCCAGCAAGGGAGGGGACGGGCCCTGGTGGCCGGTCCCGCCCCGCCCCTCCTAAAAGAATTTTCAATGCAGTTGAGCGGACAGAATTTAGGTAAGAGTATTTAATAATAGAAGAGAGAAGATAATAAATCTCAGATTTATGCTATAGATAGTGTTTAAAAATGTTGAGAAGGAAGATAAAATAGTCAGACACAAATAAATTATTAGGATGGCAGTCCTTTTAGACAGTATGGTACATGGAAGAGAAGGAATTATACCAACAGTCAACTAATAATAAAATTGTTTAATGTGCATGCTTTTGTCTAGAATTCACCAATTTTACTAGTTGTAATTTTATATTCTAAAGTGGAATAGTATAAACCTAGGCCAAACTTTGGTCATAAATTTATATAAAACACTGTGTGAGTTTGCATCGGCTAATTCTCAGCTTAGGTTCTACTGATATTAAACCATTCTGTGTTCACCAAAAAGAACATGTTAGTTTTCAGTTTTGCTTATGTGATTCAAGCATCATCCATCCTGCTCCAGAGTCACCTTCTCTTTCTTTGTTTGAGAACAGGGAATCTGGCTCACATCCATGCCTGAGCCATCTGCCTCTCAGCTGATTGGCGGTGCCATGTGCTTCTCTCCATTCCCTTCTCCCTCACAGACTATGGTTTGTTTGCTTTGCTCCTGACCTATTGGAACTGCTGCCTTGCACAGAATCTCAGTGGCAGGGCGAGAGGGCATAGGTAGCAGGACCTCTTCATTCTATTGCCTTCAACTTTTATTCCTACTGAATACAAATAGACAGTTCTTTAAGTATATCAAGTTTTACTGAGAAGTTGACACTTTATAAAAAGAGTGATCCAGCATACAAAGCAAAAATTTATTATTTTGGATCAAACATGACATCCCCCATTATTCTAGGGAAAAGCATTAAGAGTTGAACATTTCCCAAGTTCTCCCTCTGAATGTGCACCACTTCCTATCTTTCCTGTTTTTCCTTTGTTCTCTTCCTCCCTGTCCTCTGATCAGACTACAGGGTCAGCCATTTCCTTTAAACCTCCATAGTGCCAACCTTAATCCTTTTGTTGGGGCTGCACCTCTCACTGTAGGGTGTGATCCTAATCAGGACTCATTCTCTCTCTCCTTATTTTTGCAGTCTCAGAAACATAAATACCAACAGCAGAACATACATTATTGTAGAGCACACCCAGAGAAGCTTTGGTAGCACATTTCAGAGTGGAATTTGATGCTATAGTTTTTCAGTCTTTTTTAAAGCATTAAGTGCACACATATATTCTCATTCTATCTTCCAGCAATTTTTTTGTTTCTGTATTTGTTTGTTTGTTTCATTTTTGTTCTTTAGATAGAATCTTGCTATGTAATTCAGTATGTAAGTTTCAAACTACTGGGTTTAACCAATCTTCCTGCCTCCCTAGTAGCTGGGACTACAGACACACTGCCTTGCTTGGCTTTCCATCAGTTTTTCAAATAATATACACATATGTACACAGATCCCTTGCAAAATAAGTATTATTAATTTTCTGACACAGTTTTCTGGAACCATATTCATCACTTTTTCATGAATATTTATATATATGTATAGATTTTTTTAAAATAATAAAACCATTTACTCTTTGTGGACCATTTTCATCTACACCAGGACCTGGCTGAAAATTTGAAATTGCTGCTCAATTCTTCTTGTTATTGTTTTTGCTTATTTGTTTTTTACCCATGGGCCAGATCAGATTCTTAGTGACAATGTGTATTTACACTAAGCTCCATTTTCACAGAGGGTAAAATGAAGATTTAGCATCCCTGTGGCCAAAAAGTTTGAGGGGCTAAGTTCTAACTTTAACTCTTGAGCATTGTCAGGACTTTGCCTAACATGGTATTGTGACTGAATATCCGCAGATCATCTACAAATTTGAAATCTAGAGGAGGAAGTTTTTAATCTTTAAGGAATTATTGGATCAACCAAGCACACAATTATAACTTCCTAAGTAAAATGAAAATTTAAATGAAGCTTAACAAAGTTAGGCAGCCAGAGGGAAAGGTTTTAAAGAAATTGCTCTATAACTCCCTTCCACCAAAAGCATGACTGTATCCATGTTATGCTAGAAGGCATCACATGTGAGCTCTTATTACATGAGAACTAACAAGTGCATTTTATTATCTTTCTTATTTGTAATAGAACTCATATCTTCTTTGGTTAGTTTCATTTCTCTTTGGATTAAAAGCATTTATTATATGGCTTCAATAGATCAACAATCCTTGAAGGGTCAAAAT